CGAGTAGGCTAGCATGAGCCGTAACAGTTGACCTTGCTTTATACATCGATGCTTTATTATTGTTTTGTATTTTGTGCGGTGTAAATCTGGTAAACAATTAAAAATAAAATAGATTTTTAAAATAAATCACTACACTGTAGAGAAAAAGTTTGATATGATTTATTGGGTAATTCGGGAAAATTCTTTTAGGGAAACGAGAGATCTTTTCTCTGTGAAATACCCGGATCGCCCAATTCCTTGTACCAAAACTATTTCCTCTACTTATGACAATTTAAAATCAAAAGGCTGCCTTTTACCATGTAAATGCCATAATGTTCCCAGGATTAATGACAACGCTGAATTGCAGGAAATAATGGTTTGTGCAATGATACAACAAGATTCCACCGTTTTCGGTTGCCACCGGAGTTAGTGTGGGCAAAGTCCATAAAATATTTTTAAAAAAAATCCTACAAATACCAGGTTCATCAGGAAGTTTATGATGATGACAAGTACCGCAGAATGAAATTCTATGAAACCGTGATGGAAATGGCAAACGAGGATCCGAACTTTAAAAAAAATATTGTTTTTACGGATGAATCCACATTTCCGTCCATTCTGCGTTACTGGGCCATTGAAAATGAGTACCGGCAGTTAAACTTGCGTACTCAGTACCCAGAAAAACTGGGCTGGTATTTTTGGCGATAACATTATAGGACCATTTATTATTAATGGCAATTTAAATGGTAAATCTTACTTGCACTTATTGCAGAACCAAATTATTCCTGCATTGCGTGTCATTAATCCAAACCTAGACAATGTATGGTTTCAGCAGGATGGATGTCCAGCCCATAATAGTCTACGAGTTGTAGAATATTTACAACAAATATTCCCTAAGAAAATTTTTTCAACACGGGGCACAATTCGGTGGCCGGCGAGGTCACCTGATTTGGCCCCGAATGACTTTTTTTGTGGGGCTATATTGAGTCTATTATTTATGGACATGAGCATCAGAGGGCTAATGACCTAAATCAGCTTTAAATTAAAATTGAAGACCAATTTCAGGCCATTACTCCTCTTATGCTAGCAAACGTCCGGCGGGAATTTTATGATAGGTTGGGATATTGTTTGGCACAAGGGGAAGGTAGGTACTTTTGAAAACCGTCTCTAGTTTTGTTAGAGTTTCATTTTTAAGTTTTTTTATTTAGGGTTTCTTTTTTATTTTTAAATGTTTTTTCAGAGTACACTTTTACTTAATACAAAACATAACAAAATCATACATTTCATATGATTATGAGTCAGTTTTTTTAAACTTCTGCTAATTTTAATAAAAATAAATTTGATTTCTTTTACACAGATCGTATTAAAAGAAACAAAACGAAAAATAAAAAACTGGCTCTAATGGATAAAAATTTAATTTACGTAAGGAATTCATTCGAGCATAGTTGTACATTAATGCTTACAGCGCAAGTGGCATAGCCACACTGACTCCACCCTGGCGATTAAATTTGTTTTAGTACGCATGTCTCAACGACGCATCCAAATCATGTCTGAGACGGTTCTCGCTTTGTTTTGACTGCGACTTATCTGGTCCAGTTACAATGTATTTTTCCTATGGTTAGCTTGCAAATGAAGGTGCGGTATATATGTGTATATATTTGATATATTTGTTATATATATTTATACCATTGTCCTGTAATTGGGAGAATCCTGTTGGGCAATAAAGATTATTATTAGTATTATTATTATTATTATACAGGGTGTCCCAGAATATGTGGGCAATAGGATTTAGATATAACACATAAAAATAACATGCCAAATTCCTATAATTTTTTCCTACGGCCTCCCCTACGGAGATACTGGCCCATAACGGACGCCCCTGAGAAGAAAAAAAAGGATAGAAATTTTCAAAACTCTATTTTCAACTGACACTGACATTATAATTAAAATCGGTAAATGTCAACAACAAAAAAATGTAAAAAAAACCGGTTTTATCGTTCTCTCTCTGACCTTGCCGCGATTACAAAACAACCAATAAAAAGTCGCTAGGCACTGTTGTGAAATCTACAATAATATCTATTTAATTTAAAAGAATTCTTTATATGTATGTGCTCGGATATTCGAAACCGTGTCGACATGCTTACTCTGTCTTGCCTGATCTGCTCGCGCCGTCAGTGGGCGGGGCGTATGCTATACGGGTTTTAGGTAGTTGAGGGCATTTCGGTGCATTTTTCGTTTATGTATGATGTATTATTCTAGCGCGCATTTCAGGACTCTTGGATAAAAAATCATATTTCTACAACCGTTGAAGTTAGTTTTAAAACTTTGTCAATGTTCTGACTACATTTGACTCGATATATACATATGTAGAAATTTTAAATAATTCACATAGCTCGCCGCAGAATAAAGTTTTTGATGCACGATTTTGATAATTCTATATTGCAATTTTTTTTTTTCAAAATCTTTAGAAATTTTTAAAATTTCTAAATTTCTATTAGAAGCGCTCACATTTTAAGTATAAGTCTGCAAAAAATCATAATTTTAGATTGTATTCTAGAATTAATACAACAATGCTGGCTGTGAGTATCAAACGAGCAAATATTTACGTCACCATAAAAAAATTTTAAATGGTGAGGAAACTCCAAATACAATCTAAAATTCTGATTTTTTGCAGACTTATACTTGAAATGTGAGCGCTTCTAATAGCAATTCAAAAATTTAAAAAATTTCTAAAGATTTTGAAAAAAAATTGCAATATAGAATTATCAAAATCGTGCATCAAAAACTTTACCCTGCGACGAGCTATGTAAATTTATAAATAATTATTTATCATATACAGTGTGACCCATTTGTTTGCGACTCACCCCTGTAAAATCTTTATTTATTGTGCGATTTTAACCGGATTTGTTTTAAAATGTAGATCTTGATAAACTGTATTTTTAGAGCAAAATACTCCACAATAGTACAAAATACAAGGCCTACTATGTCAGTTTTTAAGAGTAAATTTTTTAGAATTCATATTAGCGATTTTTTTAAACAAAATCCAAGCACGGCACTGGATTCACCACCCCTCAAAACGACCCTATACTAAATTTTATTGAAAAATTTTAAGAAAAAAAATGCACAATAATAACTACAAAAATTTATTTTGTCAAGTTATCCATGAAAAAAACATTGAAATAAAATTGAACATAGAAATAGTACCATGTTACTATTAGTTTAATTTTATTTCAATGTTTTTTTATGGATAACTTGACAAAATAAATTTTTGTAGTTATTATTGTGCATTTTTTTTTCTTCATATTTTTAATTAAATTTAGTTTAGGGTCGTTTTGAGGGGTGGTGAATCAAGTGCCATGCTTAGATTTTGTTTAAAAAAATCGCTAATATAAGTTCTTAAAAATTTACTCTTAAAAACTGACATAGTAGGCCTTGTATTTTGTAAAAATATGGCGTTTTTTGCTTTAAAAATACAGTTTATCAAGATCTACACTTAAAAAAAAATCCGGTTAAAATCGCACAATAAATAAAGATTTTACAGGGGTGAGTCGCAAACAAATGGGTCACACTGTATAATTATAATTAATTAGATATTAATTAAAAAGTAATTAATTCATGATTACTAATTAATTTAAGACAATCTAGTGATTAATAATGATACTGTACCAAACATCGCTGCAATTTATGATTAATTCAAGATAAAACCTTAAATATTGTCTAACAGCACCTCTCCAGCAAGCGTTCGTAAACATACGTTTTTAAACATTATGCATGTTCACCAAACAGCGAATTTTGGAAACGGAATAGCAAATTAGACACCGATGATGTTTTAATCATGGATGTTTAAGAAATTCTTTCCAAAATTATGACAATGACAACCAGGTTTATGTTCAGTTAAACCAATTCTTCTTTGACAAGAAAATTTTAATATTAAACATACTGAATAAACTAATTCCTATGTAATTCATTAAATAAAAGAAATTAAAACTAAATGTTTTTAAATAAACAATTATTGTCTGATTAAAAATACCACAAACAATTGTAAACTTATAAAGCTATAGCTTATAAGGCCCAGTTTTATAACACTAGGTAAATTTTTAATCACAGCTAAACGGTCGGACACGTAACTTAATTTTTGGTCGTAGATTCCACGATAAACAAAAACCGCTGGTTATGAAACGAAAACTCGTCGACTCCGCGCATGTGAGGTCACGTGCGAACCAGATTCATATGTTACAAACAGCACAGAACATAAGACAAACAGTTTTGCCTAGGCATACGCAATGAACGGGTGTTTTACTACGATTTCTTTTGAGTTTTATCCAAAAGTATTGTGTTTTTCAAAGCATAAGCTACGCACAATGGTTTTGCAACGTTTTTCGTAAAGTTTTTACTGCATTTAGTGAACAGCAATAACTATTTACAAGGTACTTTGTATAAGCCACGCACGGGTGTTTTATACCAGGTAATTTATTAAGTTTGTGTTATATTAGTTGATCTTCATAACCAGTGATGGATTTACGCCTAGGCCCGTGAGGCCCGGGCCTAGGGCGGCATAACTTGAAGGGCGGCAAAATTTTTGAAGTGCCAAAATTCTAGAGGCGAAAAAAAGTAAAGACAATCAATTTCAAAAATTGGTACAATTATTTTTTATAAAAAATTAATTAATTAATTAATCACGGTTGCGGGTAAAATCCAACAATATAAAACTATTCTAGATAACTACATATATGGTTGTATTAGTTAAAAAAGTTTAAAATCCACTTGCTGCTGGTCAAAATGGTACATTGTCTCCAAGACCATTAAGGCGTCGAGCCACCAAGGAAGAAGAAGAAAACATCGCGCTTCGCGCTGTAGAAAAGTCATAGCAATCATTTTAGTTTTATGAATGCTCATTATGTGTATAAGTCTCAAATTATTTTATTAGGTTTCTTAACACTAAAAAAATAATTGATTGATAACTTAAAATTAAGCATTGTTTTTTTATAATTTGTGGTAGTTTTGATTTTATTTTTGAATTAAATATGAGTGGCTATCGAAAAAAATTTAGCGGTGCAGAATATCCTAAAAGAAAAACAGAAGAATCTACGAAAATAGATAATTTACTTAAACAAATTCCAAAAATATCTGGTTTTATGACAAGCTCAAGTAAGTCTTCTAATAATAACCAACAACCATCATGTTCATCGGTCGTAAGTATCTTGTTATGATTGCTAATAACTTTTTTTATATACAACGTTAGTCGGGATAAACATTAAATAAATTCCAGTTGTTTAAATTGATTTTTTTTTTAGCCGGAATTAGAGATTTCAGAACAAGATATCTAAGAAGTACAGTCACACCCTTCTCTCTCACAAGATACGAACAAGACGCCTTCAAATTTTCCTTTATCACAAGATACTGAAGAAATCCAGTCAAGAACTGATATTTTAAAATTTAATACTGATCCCTTTTTATGGAATTTGAATGAAGAAACACGGAATTTCATAACTATAAACGGTATACCACGAAATGATAATACGGACTAAAAAAAATTCCAGAAATGTTTATAGTGATAAAACAAGGTAGAGATTCAACGCCGTGAGTGGTTAATTTATTCAGAAACTAAAGGGTCTGTATTTTGTGTTCCATGCTTATTATTTGGTAGAAGTGGTGAAATGAATGCTTTTACTGGTGAAGGATTTCGTGACTGGAAAAACTCAAAAGCACGCATCAAAGCTCATGAAAATTCTGATTTTCACAAAACTAACGTTAGTCATTTTAAAGCTCGAGCAGTAGTTCACGGGCGTGTTGATCAACGTCTAATAAAACAGTTCGATGAGGAAATAGCGTATTGGAAAAAATTTTATACCGAGTAATTGCAATTATTAAATCACTAGCAATAAGAGGGTTGCCATTTCGAGGAAATTCAGAACGAATAGGAGATCCCCATAATGGGAATTTTTTAGAAACAGTAGAGCTTCTTGCTGAATTTGATCCATTTTTATCTGAACATTTAAAATTGTATGCACACCCTGGTAGTGGAAATACGTCATATTTGTCTAAAACAATCTATGAAGAAATTATATTGTTGATTCAGAATAAAGTACTACAACAAATTTCCAGTGAAGTGCAATCTGCTAATTATTTTGGTATAATTCTAGATTCTACGCCTGATATTGCACATGTAGATCAGCTTACTATAATTATCAGATATGTACGTAATAACGGTGAAAATGTTGAAAGGTTTCTAGAATTTTTACCAAATATCGGCCATAAAGCTAAAGATATTGAGGATGCTTTGTTAAAATCTCTAGAAAATAATGGTTTGGACATAATGAACTGTCGTGGTCAATCTTATGATAATGCAAGCAATATGTCAGGTATATATTCAGGCCTTCAGACACGAATCAAAACAATTAATCCTTTAGCAGATTACGTTCCTTGTGCCGCCCATTCTTTAAATTTGGTAGGATCATGTGCAGTTGAATCGGTAACAGAAGCAGTCGACTTCTTTTCTACTTTGCAAGAACTATACAATTTCTTTACTATATCTACACATCGTTGGGAGATCTTGGTGCAGCGTACAAATTTAAGAGTTAAGAGTCTTTCTCAAACTCGTTGGTCTGCTCGACATGATGCATGTTATGCATTAGAAAAAGAGTGGCCTGCAATAATTGAGCTACGGGATTGCAGCGAAAAATACAGCATTTAGAAATATCAATCCTAGTCATTGTTTGGAATGTAATTTAAGATCGTTTTAATGCTGCTAGAACGAAGCTTCAAGAATCTCAAGCTGATTTATCATCCGTTGTTCAGATCTATAGTTCTCTGGCTTTATTTCTTCAAGACATGAGAGACAGACAATTTTCTGAATATGAAGAAAAAGTCAAAGCACTATCTGGAGTTCACGATTATGATACTCGTCGCAAAAAAAAACCAGAAGAATTCAGCCAGACGAGTCACGGGTAAATGAAAGAACACCTTTTTCTGGACAAATGTTTATTTCCCTATTCTAGACATTCTGAGTGTACAATTGGCCGGGCGTAAAAATCGACGTTTTTGCGCGGACCAAAGCCAGGAAAAAGAAATTTTCAAATTGAATAATATTAAAAAAAAATATTTATTATTTATCTGTCTAAAGTTTATAACTTATTTATCTGTCATGTTTATTAGTTATATTTAAAAAAATATATTTCAATAAATAAAGTTATTTTAAAATAAAAATATTGGATCAAAATTAATGAAATTCATTTTATCAAAAAGGGCGGCGCATCGAACGGGGCCTAGGGCGGCAGCAAGCCTAAATCCGTCACAATAGTTATGAATCATAACTATTAAAAATATGCCGGGCTGTGCTGTAGCAGACAGCAGAAATATGAGCAGAAACTCCGACACCCAACTTATCCTAACAATAAATATTTTCGATTTCCAAAAAATAAAGATCTGGCAGCACAGTGAATGAATGCATGCAAGAGAAAGGATAACATGAAAATAAAAAACGGGAAGTAAAGTCAACTTTTGGTAAAACCAATTTTCTGTTAGGTACTTATAGTAACTTTTTACCCTAACCACATATTTTTTTACAGCTTGCATAAGTTCTTACTAATAATAAAACACAATTGTATCGGAAACCCGCTTCAAAAGTGTCACAAGTAAAAAAAGTTGAGAATTTTTTTTTTACTTTTTGCAATTAAAAAATTTAAAATTCGGTCTAGCGTAAGTTAAGTTAAATAAATTAAATAAAAAATATTTTGAACAATAATAATAGGAAGGTAGGAAATTAATTGTTACTAAAAATATATTACATTAGTATTAAAAGCGCTTGCTGCCAATTTAACTTTCTCTTAACATTTGTTACACTTAATAATTGCACCCAGACCGTCCCTATATTTATAAATTTTGCAGTGCAAATAACATTACAACCCAGTAACCCGCCAGCTTTTGGTTCTCACATGACGTCACACGGTACGAGAGAGATAGCTATAACATGCGCATCAGCATACCGGTTTTAGTGAATCGTGGTAGATTCCAAATACGAGCTCGGTTTAGCTGTAAACTAATATATTTCACCTCTTGTGCCAACATTCCTATGCTTTTTATTTTGTTAAATATAATATAATATCCTCAATTATACTCAATAAAAAAAATCAGCAAAAAAAACATTTGTAATTACCTACCTAAATTATCTAAAAAAATACTTCTGAGATCAATTAACCTTAAATTTTGCAAGAGTTTTTCTTTTATTTAAAACTGATGTGGGGGTCCAGCCCAATTGAATTTTTTAAAATTTATACAGGGTTTTTCCAAATGGAATGCTTCAAAACTTGAAAATTAAATATCTTTGAATTTTGACCTGATACAGCTAAACCAAGCACGAATTTGTAATCTAGGACCAAAAATTAATTTAACATGTCCGAGCGTTTAACTGTGATATTTTCACCTCCCTACATTGTAATCAGACTTTTAAATGTACTTTAACTAAAAAGAAAGTTTCACTTTAAGTCCACTTTAAAGAAAGCTTAAGTTAAGGTGTTTTATAATCATACCCATTCGAACTTTTAACTAAATTTTCATTGGTTATAATCAGAGCTGCAACAAGTCAGTTTAAAAAAAAGTTTAAGTTATTTCTAAAATCAAAATGATTTAAATCTTAAGTCAATTCTAAGATACAGTTCACAGTTCAAATGATTTAAGTTTGAATTAAATCATTTTCTTTTAAATCAAATGATAGTACAACCAAAAGTCCTGCTGGAAGCGCTTCCGGAAGTACACTTGCGTCTTGCTAGAAGGACAAGCGCGCCCAGGAGTTTTGTAAATTCTGTTCTTCCAGCTACCAGAAGGACCAGAAGGAATACTTTTCAGAGCACTTAAAAACAAAATAAAAACTTTTTTGAGAATATAGTAGAGAATGACATATCAAAATATATGCCTAAAACACAGGAATGCTACTTTTTTATATACATTAATAATTAATGATTAATGGGTAACTTCTAAACGTTAATGATAACTCTGTTAAATTAAATAAAAGTTGAAGCTAAAAATTAATAATATTCCAGAAACCAATAAATCCAATTTTTCGGAGAATAAATGTTTTTTCAGGTCACCCGAGACCCGGTTTTGGGATTCGAAAGTTAATGTAGCCGTCAAAGTGTGACGGTCAAACGGTTCAGAAAAGCTAACTTTATCGCAACGGTTTTTTTATTCACTAGTGGTAGCGAGTGTCGGTGGTAAATTAATGAAGTTTTTGATGTGCTGCTGCTTGAACACCTAACAGTTCATAAGAAAATGCCGCTGTTAAAAAATTATAAGAAAAATATATAAAAAATCTTACCGACTAAAGCATTTTATAAAAACTTTTTTTAGACTTAAATCTTTTCTAGATGATTTAAATCGTATGTACTGAAAAAATATTCAAGTCAAATCAATTTAAAAATTACTTTAATTTTAAGTCTTAAGTCAGATTTCGAGAAATCACTTAAACTTGCAGCTCTGGATATAATCATACTTTAGAACACATAGATAAATAACCTGCTTTAGACACAGCCAAAATTGAAGAAAATTAAGATGTTTGTCATATGTGTCATTGTGTTAATTTTTGTATTTTTGAACAATATTAAATCAAAAATGGGTAAAAAAATTTCCAAAAATGAGGAACTTCTTTTGTTGGATAAAATTGGAAAACAAAAAAAAACACCAATATTTCTGGCAATTATTTTCATACATTTTAATGAACCGTGGTCTTGCTTGTTGTAATTGCTTCCAATACCCTTTTAATTAAGAAACTACCAGTAGTAGCGTAGTGTAAGAAGAAACTGGACCATTGGGAAATACTTTTACCCCTGAAATATATGTTGTGCAGCAAAGAAATATTTGCTGCACAACATATTATTTTCTTTAAAAATATTATCATATTTTTGATTAATTGAAAAATGGGGGACGAAATATGTCGAAAAAATGAACATCTTATAACCATCTTTCTATAGAGTGTTCTTAAAAATATTTCCTGAGTTTGCTTATCAGATGAACTTGAACTTGTCTCGGTACATATCGGTATGTTTGTACTATTATAGTATAATACTCTGAGAGTTAAAAAGAGGTATTTATTAATTTTTTAGATGTTCTACAGAAGATCTTGTTTTACTTCGATAAACATTACATTAACAATATTCTTTATTTTGTGTTAAAGCAATGGGGTTGGGAAATGCATTTTTTATTGCTTATTTGGTTTCTACGCATACAAGAAGTTTGTTATTAAATTTTTTTTCCTAGGTTTCTCAAACAATTTTTAAGAACGCTACAGGGATTTCAAAACCGAAAGATTTAAAACGCTTTGGTGACCTTGAAGAATGATCGTGACGTCACGATGTTATAACAGATTTGTCAAGAATTAAGAATTAATCAAACATGTCTTTTAAGCATGGTTTCATATATTTTAAAGTATTTAAATTGTTTAAAAATCGAGGAAAAGAACATGCAAGAGTAGCGAATTTTAAATATACTCGTAATAATAATTATATAAACTTTATACTAAAATACGCTGTTAATGGTTTTATAACAAGTAAAAAGATTATAACTGTCAAATAAATTAATTATGTTCGAAATTTTTATTTATGCATATACTTTATTCGTAAAACTTGACACGCCTATTATATCTACAATAAACCTTTATTATTATTATAACATCGTGACGTCGCGATACCGAGTTAATTTATCGATTTAAAAAAAATAATAGCAAAAATTGTTTTGTTTTTAACGTTCTAGTTGTTTTTAGTTACTAATCTCTATAATAAACGTACTATCACACTGACATCATGTCCCAGGAAATATGTATTAATAATATATAAATAGAATAAGCCTTGGTTTCCATAAGCTCCTGATAAAGGTTTAAGGTTTTATTAGATACAACCTTAATCTATAGGATGCAACAAGTACCTTTCTATGTATAAGTATCTTTTTTATTTGAAGAGATACAAGGTCGGTTAAATTATTTTATCTACGCCAGTGAGATAAGAACTTCTTATCCCACTCATTTTGAGTGAGATAAGAAGTTCATTAACGCACGCGTTTTTCTCTGCTTTTAACCAATCAAATAAAAAAGTCAAAATGTCAAAATAACCCTAAATTAAGTCTTAGACAAAAATAATTACCGTTTATTTTTTCATTTAGAGGCGTAGATAAAAATTTGTACAATATACGTGTGATAACGCTTTATTAACGTACTTTTGCGATTGCCCAACTCGTGCTACGCACTCGTTGGGCAAATTTCGCATGCGTACGTTAATAAAGCTCTTATCCCACTTATATCGTAAATAACTAAAAAAGTTGCGGAACTAAGTCTATTAAAATAACTTAATAATTTGAAAGAATTGAAAACCTGTCAAAACCAAAAATCGTTACAACTTCGTTACCTATTCCTGCGAAGTTTTACATGCAAACATACACATTTTTATCCAATTTCTGAGTTACCACCATCATCTTTTGTTTCTCCTATGGCCGCTATATTGGAATTTTACATGGTTAAATAAAAAAAAACAAAATATAGAAGCAAACAAATTGTACGAAAAAGTAGATTAATCACGGTGCTGTTCTGAGAGGTGATTTTTGGACTTTCTGTGAAACCTAATTTTTTTTTATATTCTTGTTAATTAGGTCATAACTAAAATTTTAAGAGCAAAATAAAAAAAAATTGACGGTTAATTTTGTTTTAATTGAATGTTTATTAAAAATATGTATGCACACTTTCAATTCTCCAATTAAAACTTGCAATTCTGAGAGAACAAAAATTATAGAATACGTATACTGAAAATGACAATTCAAACGTGAAATAAATTTTTAATAGATTTAAGTTTCATGGCAACCTTTAAGGATATATTAATTAAGGGAACATAAATGTATACGTCAAAGGTTAGATTAAAAGTTTGAACGTTTATTGCAACAAAACAGTAAAATATATAAAAAAAATTGTAAAA